CTGTGTCATGCAATAGGGGTAACATGTACGCATTTCTGCTTTCTTGACGCCCACTGTACATAATCTAGAGGGGCCGATGCGTCAATCTCGGGACTGGAAAGCATGCGCGATCACCTTGCATAGATGGCGACGTATATGTTTCCATGCATCAGCGAGTTTAATAATGGTCATTTCCTTACGAATGATTGGTGTATCAATTTGGTAATAAAAGTCCCCCACATCACATGCAAACTAGCTTATACTGCATTAACTAACCTTCATATGCTTGTAAGAACGTACCCTGACATGTTTGATGTGTTCTCCGCATGCACTGTCATGCAATTATGTGTCAATGTCTATTAGTGTTCCACGACTGATGCTGCTACGGAATATTCGTGCTTAAGTTCGAGAATATACGGTAGTTCGCCACCCATTGTCGCGCGCCGCCTGCTCCGAAAGAGTCCACTCGAAAACCCGGTAGGAGGTGAGGTGGTGTGCTGGAACGTGCGCCGGCAAAACTACTAGCCGCGCACCTCGAGGCAGCGGGAAAACGCAACGGCGCTGGGCTCGGAACAGCGTCGATCGTCGCGCGGGCGGATTCCAATTTCCGGCCAGGGTAATTAGGCTCGCACCCCGTACTCCACTCCACTCCCACACGCTCCCTATATTCCGCTTCACTCTCCCTCGCCGTACCAAACCTGTACCCGCTCCGCTGTCCCGTCCACCCCCACCCGTCCCAGCCACATGCAGCAAACCTCTTCTGCCCTGATGGACAGAAAAGTTAGAAGGAAAGAGGGATATTTCGTCCCCAGTCCTTTCTTTCCGTTACTTTCACTACCGAAAGCTATCAAGCCTTTTGTTCAACAGCTCACTGCTTCAATATTTTCTTCCTCTCCAGTTTTATACGCTTTCCTCTGCGCTCTCGCCAGCCTGTACTGCTGTTAGTAGAGTTTTTGTGCTACAGTGAGTTCTTCCTCACCACCTTCTTGCTCAGATTTACGTGCAATGTTCTAACGCTCCCTATTTTTTTTTTCTGTTTTGTATAGCTCTTAGCTTGCTCCCACACTGCCACCTAGCTCATGCTTCGAGATCGTTGGCGCAGTTTTATAAGGCTCTGAGAACACATTCCCGATAACGATCGCACAATTCTTTCCTGTAGATGCCTAAGAGGAACGACTTTAATCTTCGCACTCCTGTCTACACGGCGAGGGATCTTCCTGCAGGATGTTGCCGTTAGTCTAATCTTGCCGGCGGCCTCTTATCCCTATCCACCGTCATCAGCTGGACACTGGTGTCGCAACGCATCAGAACACCATACCACGCCTAACGGGAGGGAGCAATCAAGAGCTCGTCATTCGGAGGATTTTTTAGGCAACTCCCGTGTTACGGCAATACATATCCATATTCATCAGTCCACACTGCCCATTCTCTAGACAGCCGTGACATGCGCGTTAAATCATGACACACACGTAGGATTCTCTTAACGAAGTTGTTTAGCTCCAGGTAAAACGAGTGTCCACAAAACCTATCATCACCATCAACGCGTATGGGCCTCTAAACTTCATCCCACTACTCATCTCTGGTCCTCTAATACTGAAGAAGTCACCAGGTAGCCCAAAAATTGTCTGCGAAATGACGGTGGCGAGCCGAGAACCCTGAGTTCGTACAACGAGACAACACTGGGGAATGGTAGAGGCAACAGCAGCTGCAAGAACACCCCGAAGCCTTGGAATCCCGACGACGATCTGCCCATAAATTTATGAGAGATGCAAACGCTCGGCTTCAGCGCAAGGTTCTGTCTCTGAACTTGGACATGCGTGTTACTTCTGCGACTGTCGGTCTTGTAACCCGAACCTCTGTGCACTTAGAATCAACCTACAAACAACCTGGTATGACCTGGCTAAAGCCTAGTAGCTATGCGAACGCAACCAGATTAGACTTCAGAATCGTCCATTTCCGCTACTTGAAGCCTTGCGTGACGTTGTGCAAGGCTGCAAGCTCCAGCTTTTTTTTTTTTCTTTGTCAAGCGTGCAGTATGAATTCTTGTCAACCATACACACTTAAACTTTGTTACCTATATTGACTGGACTTCAGAATCGTCCATTTCCGCTACTTGAAGCCTTACGTGACGTTGTGCAAGGCTGCAATCTCCAGCTTCTTTTTTTCCTTGCCAAGCATGCAGTACGCATTACTGTCGACCATACGCAGTCAAACCTCGTTACCTGTATTGGCTGTACGTAGGCACTTCCTATGCCACCATAAATCGCTTGTATTCTTCTCACAACTGACACCGCACTTTTACATGGATTTCGTCCTGTTATCTGAGGGGGATGTACAACGGCTCAAATTTTAAAAAAAAACACGCAGCTTGTATATGGTTCAATTAATTATCACCTAATTATGACGAAATCACTCACAATTTTTACATGTCATTACATCAAGACCATAAGTTAAAACTACCAACAAAAATAACGTATGATTACCGCAACACATAATGAAGGAAGACGATGAAGTGTGATCTCTGTGCTGCAGCTGTCCAGGCAACCATCCGTCCCAAGCGTAGGCAAATAAACTTTGCTTTATGTCATTTAAATCCACAGGCGCGGCCAGAAAGAGAGATAGAGTACTTTTGAAAAAGATTTATAGTATTTGATCTTGACAGTACGTTGACCGTATTGTATTATTCACACTCAACAACAGTGCGCTTTCAAGAGGTTGTAATGCTTCCGCGATTCTTCTCATTCCACTTTTGCTAATAGCGTGTCGAATTCACTGCGTCGTTCATATTCATAGATTCAGCCCTTGTTCCATCTTCATTAGTTCATTTATTGCTGAAATATGTTTTACAGCAGTGGGTCGCGCTGCATAATCCAGAAGACGAACTCACGAAACTTCTTTTTCGTAATTCTGTTTTGCCATTGGTCAGCCGGCTTCTCTAATTCTATGTCCCGCATCGTGATTGGCCGGTGTAATCTCTTGCGTAAATGTCTAGCGTAAAACGTGCTTCTAAATACGAGCCTATTGGTTCACCTTTCACAAACTCTTGGTCAGTTAATTTGGAACTACGTTGTCCTGTACACTGTTGTTCCCTATTTACAAAATGCACGGCGTCTTACTACACTTTCGAATTCCTCCTGAGCATTTATTCTTCCTTTTTCGACTCGCTGCTCCTATAGGGGGAAGTCAGCAACGAAAGAGCTTGTTCTTGCCAATTTCGTGCCGGAAAAGCAAAGGCGGTGGCTTCGGTAGTAGCGATGCAGTAAATACTTAGCGAGACTTGGGCCTGTCCGTGCCAAAGCGTTCAATGGTGCTAGCGCTGTCTTTGCGCTTTTTGTCTTTGATGTGCAGTGCTCTGCGATGGAGGTGCACCCAGGTTGCCTCTATGTGCGTGCGTGAGCAGACTTGCGTGCATGTGCACACGTGTTCGCTTGTGTGTCTTTCCTTCCAGGAGTTGTAGACATTGTCGACGAAAGTGGACTTGACAAGAGCAGCGACTGTGACAAACTTGTTCAGCCATTGCAGAGTGGGGAATACCGACGGTGTTCAGCCTTTGCTCGCTGGCAACTTATTTGTCTGAAGAAGGGAGCGTTGCTGATTAATTGTCTCCTCAACCTTAGTTTTCCTTTCTATACTTCCCTTGAGCAGAAATCTTGGTAATGCACTTCTTTAGTTACTGGCGTGGAAGTGACTGAAAGGAAGTGTTCGATGGAGCGAAACCAGTGTTGGAGATTCTCGCTTGCTTAGGCAAGCAATGGCCGTTGCGTCGTTAGAATGAGAGCCATCAGCTCGAAACGGAGGCAGCAAGAAGTACTTAAGTTTGTGCTATTCCGTAGTTTCTGAGAAAAAAAATATTGGCACCGACAGTTTGGGAAGTTCCACGTATGACAAAACTGCATTAGGGAACGCTTAAGGAGGAGCCCAGAAATGGTGTTGTTGTTTTTTTTTTTTTTTTGCTTCGTGCCCCATGTTTGACGGTGTGTAACAATAAAATTGCCTTCTTCGCTTCCGGTCACCTGTCCTACAAATAATCGAGGTCGCGTGGGCTTCGTTGATAGATGCTTCACAGTAATTTGATGACGCTGGACTTCTTGTAACGCGGTCCCGTTACCGCGAACTAGCTATAGGCCCCTTCTGGAAGAGCTGATAACAGCTTTCATCATGGCTCTCCGTAAAGGAAAACTATAATTGGTGCCACCGATAATAAAGCGACAATCAAGTATAGCTTTAAAATGCAATAAAAAAGCTGATACGCGGCTTCCCTAGTTTCAAATTTTCGGTACATATGTCTGGCTTGACTAAGTACCGTACTATGGGGTTTTCATTCCTATTTTTGGTACTAATTGATAGGGTTCTTAACTGAGCACCCAGCTATTTAAGTCCAATGTCATTTATTGTGTTGAAAACCAAACAATCAAAGTGCATTTAATTTCTCTTTAAATATGTGGTGAAACCAGCTGCCGTACCACATAGCTCTACAAAACGCTCTGCTGTCCCTTGTCACCACTAGAATACGGTGTAAAACAATCAAAGGCTTACACCCGATTGGGTGATATTCTCACAAGGCTATGCATACCATTGAAATCTTGTTGACCCCAGGAACCTCCCTGTCCTTCCTCTTTCAATCCTCCTTGTTGACCCCAAGGTGTTTTAGTGTCTAACGTATGCGATAAGAAATGAGAGCTCCTGTATGGTGCACAAGCGCACGAAACACACCTAAGTAACCGCCATCTTCTACAGTGTTTGCTTAAATACGTATACGGACTGTCAGCATTATCTGCGCGATTAAGCGTTCAGAAAAGATTGATCTGAAGCATGGTCGTCGTATTCCCTATCTCATTGCATTTCGTTGCTATTACTCCGTATCTTTCAGTCAACGCTCACGCAATATCTCAACAATTTTCAAAGATGCATAGCAACAAAGCGGGACGACTACTGTCGTCATGCGTCGGTGCAATTGTCCAGTTATCGGAAGCCTAGAGAAATCATCCCGTTCGAGAGACAGAGCTCAAGCGCACGCATGCATGTATATGAAATCACGCAAACTGACGCTGTCGTTTCCCCTGTACGCGCAGGGCTCTAGCTCGACCGTGGACGTCGCTCTACTGGCGGAGGCGCACGGCCTGGTGACAGACATGCTGCTGGACCCGAACCTCCCGCCGCACGTGGTGAGCGGGTTGCGAGCGCTGGCCACGCTACTGTCGCCCCCGAGCCACGGGCCGCCCCAGCCACGGCCCCGGCCCGGGGGAGCCTCAGTCTCGCTGGCCGACTTCAACTGCGGCTCGGACACGGAGGAGATACCGTACACCGGAGAAAGACCGTCGGCCCTGCCGAAACGGCTGCGCCGCAATCTTCCTCCGGGCCTGCTCCGGCGCATGTCGACGAGCACGTGGACGACGACGACCTCGGCGACGGGCATGCCCACGCTGGAGCCAGAGCCCAGCCGAAAGAGGAGCACTAGTTTCAGGCATGCGGCAGCCGCCGCCGAGGGGTCCGCGGCCGCGCAGCACCAGCAATTCCTTGCGAACCATGCAGCAGCGTCCAGGTACTCGTGATCGCAGAGCTCGGGTGCTCATAGGTCTTTTAATTGAGCCCAGGACTTGACACTAGCCTTTGATGATGATGATGATGGTGGTGGTGATGATGATGATGATGATGATCTAAAGGCGTGGTCGCAACCAAACCGCCTTTTTACGTCGTTGTTGGACGATGACGACCGCCTAAATGCATGGCTCACACCCACTCTGGGGGGATTGGTCAAGAAACGAGTAATATGCGCACCAATTCTTCCTCTCCCTATTCTCATCCGTCATTTCTCTTCCAAGTGAGTAGCGCATCAAGTGCCCCGCTTGTCGGCCATGCGTGTATATCATGTGGCGTGATCACACTCGATATCAAGTGGTCGAAACATGTGTACCGAAAGGCTATCAATGCTCGAAACCGGCTCAACATAAGTGAACTAGGACTAAGGTATTATATTTCACTTAAATAACGAAGAAGCAATTGAAGTAATACAAAATAATAAAAATTAGGGGACCATTAAGATTCGTTTTTAATAGTTGGAGGCGACTTCAAACCCATCGTGAATGGAATTGTTTCGAACTCACTACATTGCATGCTCTACGTGGCCTTAAAGTAGTAGGTGCAGAGACGTGTGTGCCTCTTGGAGCGGTTGACTGGCTTTAAACAATGAAGTCATTGAGATAACCACATGTTCTTACGCCCGATGGCAATGTACGCTTGTACCACGCATTATTACTGTAATATTCAGGCTGTATTGTGAATCATGTATACCGGGCGTATGTGCTTGTAAGCATTCAATTTGCTCTCACTGTATTTCTGAGCAGAGGAGGATGTTTTCGCTTTATTCACCAGAGGACGCGTGGCTCTGTGGTAAAAACACACGCTTGCCACGCAAACAACCCGGGTTCGATCCACACTTAACCGGAATATTCATTATGTACTTTATTTCTGTCAATCTCGATTTTTCGGTCATGGACAACACGATGATTTTAGTTCACCAGCAATGACGCTGACTCCAACGCCGGAATATGTGCGAAAACGAGCTTTTAAACGCTATTACTTGCCCCGCCGCGGTGGTCTAGTGGCTAAGGTACTCGGCTGCTGACCCGCAGGACGCGGAATCGAATCCCGGCTGCGGTGGCTGCATTTCCGATGGAGGCGGAAATGCAGTAGGCCCGTGTGCTCAGATTTGGGTGCACGTTAAAAAACCCCAGGTGGTCGAAATTTCCGGAGCCCTCCACTACGGCGTCTCTCATAATCATGAGGTGGTTTTGGGACGTTAAACCCCATAAATCAATCATAAACGCTATCACTTTATAACCCTTCGGAAACATGCTAATTCCACCCGCGCCGCACACAAGAGTTCTCCAAACGCGCGATTGCTTCGCCCACCTACCAGCGTTTCTCCGGCGCCTTCGTCGCTACATCCTGAAGGTGGGAGTAACCTGAAGGGAGTTGCTGCAGACAAGTATCTCAACTGCCGCAACAAGCAGGAAGTCGATAAAGCCCAGCAAAACATAGCACGCATGTCGCGCACTGAGATTGCGAATCACCTTAAAAAGATTCACTTGTGGCGGGAAAACCGTGCATGCTTGCCTCAAACACTAGCATTATCGAGGGTTTGGTAAACCGAGCAGTAGGAATTCTACTAGTGATAATCGCTAGGTGCCCGTTCTACACGCGTCCTCGGGTTTCACAGAGCTGCATTTTTCTCTTTCGCTTTTTCCTTTTCCTAGTAGTATGCTCAAGAGCATTAGCTAAGGCCAACCATCCAACTTTTATCACTTCTCTCACTCTCTTAAGTGATGACAATTCGTTGAACAGAGAACGCTATTCGTTTCAACCTTTTGACAGCGTTTTTTTTTTTATTCGAAGGTTCCTCATCACTTCGAGCTTACACTATTTCCGTGAGCGTCATCTGACTTTTTAAATTTAGGCATGTGCAATGTTCCATTATACTGTAGGGTGTTCGCAAAGTGGCTTACTGCCAACTCTGATAGTGACATTCTGTGATGCTTTGCCTGGGCACTACAATCAACACGTTTTGTTTCTTGTGCATGTTCATGAGTGTTGTTCAATTCTCATGTGAATAAGAAATGCAGCGGCTAGGGAGATAACTGATCATTAATGAAAATGAATCGACTGATATGCCGTTTGGCTTACTTCTAGGCAAGGTAAATGAGATGTGTACAAAATAGGTGTTAAGCTATGAAGAACGTGCAAGGTACAAGAGTGCGTGCTAAAAGTGCACAATCTGTATATTCTATTTGGAGTAACCTATGACACAGAATTAAACTTAAAAAATAACAAATTTGTTATCGTCAAGCTGCTTAAGAAGCTTGACGCTAATTTTAAAGGTGCTTTTGGGCTTCAAGTGGGCTCCTAGTTTTGTAAATTGTAGGTGCATTGTTACGAAGGCAGGCTTGAGTGAAAAGATAGTACATGACAAGCTTTCAGTAGTCTTATGCACTTCTTCGCCAAAAACAAACAGTTGTCAGTTTGCTTTCTATTTTGTGCGTTCCCTTCTGTCACTAAGGTGCAGCGTTGTTATGCATGACAATACTTTGTCAAGAGACTCACCACACTGGGCTGGAAATTGTATTAAGAAGTAGACTGTACTCTCAACTGTGGTACTTACTCATGGTTTGGCATGTGACCTGATTTTGTTGTAATGTGCCCTTTCTCCTTCTACCTCTCCTTTGCCATATTTATTTCCTGTTTTTTTTTTACTTTATGGGCTCTCCAGATGACCAAATGGATGTGGTGTCTCATTTAGCTGACAAATGCCCACCAACTTGTTTCCTTGCATTCCTTCTATTCTAGCTGGCCATTTTCATAGGGCAGACGAACGTGGACTAACGTGCTTTGACGACCCTCAGCCACTAAGAAGACAGTGCGGATTGCAGATAAATGTATTACGTAGACAGTTACTTCATAGATAAATGTATTACATGAATGGATCTTCCAGAGTTTCTTTTTAGACGTGAAGCGGCTATTTGACTAACCTGTGTAACGATGTCCCTCCGTGCGTCTGTAAGATCGCGCCGCAACGCGCTCTCCTCGCCGCACGTGTTGGAGGGGTGCCAAGTAGGTCAGGCCACAGCTGCACATTAACGTCATGCCCCCTTCGCAGTGTGCGCAGACGTCACTCTCTTTCTCGGCTGCCACGCGTCTGCCGCAGCGCCCGTACTTCCCGCCTCGTTCGTTAACCCGCAACAGCAGCCGCTACCACCACTCGCTCCGCTACCACGCGGTGAACCGCCGCTCGTTACCGGTTCACACGCAATAAAACTGACACACTAGCCATCGCTTCAAACGAATTTTCCAGCGCTGACCACATCACCCGCGTTAGCGCCGTTAAACTTGTGCTGCCACCCGTATGCAACGCTGCTGCGTCATATCCTATCAGGGTTCCTTTTGGAAAGATGGTGTGAATTTTTAATTCTTACATGTGTGTTGGCAGCAACTATGCGGCTTCGCATCGTATCTGAACTCCCCCAACAAGGCAGTCTTCTTACGTCCTTCTTCAATCCTTTGGCCTCCTCTCAGCGGTTCGTCGGCTCGCGGCACGGCGTCCGGTGGTCCGTCGTCGGCGCTGCAGCCGAAGGGCCGCTCTTTCTCCACGACGGCCATCCCGTCGTCAGCGCTGTCCCGGCGAGGGGTACGCGAACGCAAGACGGTGTGCAGCCTCCACCCGCTGAGCCTTGCCGCCGGGACAACGCCCGGCGCGGCGGCGGGCGAGGCCGCCGCCTCGCAGACCAGCAGGCCACGCTACCTTCTGTGCGCCGGCTGCACACGTCCGACTACGACTCCAGCAATGACTCGCCCAGCGGGTCGGACACAAACGACCCGGCGAGCGGGCCCAACGTGCTGGGTAAGCCCTCATCTCTGTATTCATAATGATGATGACAATGAGGATACACTGTGTGTTTCATGTCTATAAACACTTGCTAAATTATTCTTCCTTACTTCTCTGACAGTATCATGTCACTGGTAATCTGTTCAGTCATCTGTTTGATACTTGCTAGATATCTCTCTGCCAGTTTTGTGACAGTGTTGCTTTATATTGGTGACTTTATATCTTCACCTCACATATAGACCCTTGTGCAGGATGAGTGCACGGTGCATTTCATGCATGCCACCCTTGCAGTAGCACAGCTTAGCCTGTTTCCTAACAATTATGTACATCACCCCCCCACTGAACACTTTTCTCACCTATGAAGCGTGCAGCCGGGCAGAATGGTATTTCTTCAGATCTATCTTGTATCCCTGTACGTTTCCTCCACCTAATTCATCTACATCTCTTTCCTATCATCCAGCTGTAGTGACAGTTTACCACTAAACGAATCAGCCTAGATAAATAATGCGTTGCTATAAAAATTTGTCTTCTTTTCTTTTTTTTTCTTTTTGTGTACGTGTGTGTCACAGAGGGCGCACTGAGGTCGCCGCAGCAGGCGACGGCCGTGGTAGCAACGGCGACAACGGCGGCGACGACGGCGGGACCCGTTCGCTGCGGACTCTGCGGGGCTCGGGTGGGCGCGACGCTAGCGGCAAGGCCCCGTGAGAGACGCCTCGAGGACGCCACTGGTGCCAAAGGGGACGAGGTCTCTAATACCTCTTGTTTGGCTCTACATGTGTTTCAATGTTTAGTCGTCTGATATACCTCCCCTGAAGCATCTAAACATCCTACCTGAGCTATTATAGCTCTTTGTGTGAGCTCGCGCACTGATCTTAACAGTGCTGTCCTCGGCATAAAATACCTAGCAATACCGGAAAGAAATTAGCTTTACCAAAACCCGGACCAGCAGTGCCTCATGCGCGTGTTGCAGCTGAGAGGGCATGACTTTCGAACGATGGGTTGTTATAAATGCCGACGTGAACAGCCACTGAAGAGCACAGCCCTGCACAAGGTTTTTCAGGAGGGGAGAACAACGTTTCAGAGTAGAACCCTCTGGTCGAGTACTAACGTAAAACAAGCTTCGTAATGGATGTGAAACTGAAAATGAAGTGATGACGTGCTTCTCAAAACGTTCTGCCACTGCTCCTCAGCTTTGCTGGCTTAAAACGATGAGCAAGCAGGTCGTCGAATGCCATAACAGGGGTCCTCAGCAGCTATTATTGCCAAGAACCGTAGTGGCCATAACCTTGTGATTCACGCAATTACGGGAGAGGTCTGACTGTGTAAAAATAAGAGGGAGGGGGAGACTTGACACCCCATCAAAATTATTAGTCGGGGCGTGCCCCACCATGCCCACTCCTCCTATGTGCGCACACCTATGAATAACAAAGCAGAGATGGTGTAAACAAGTCTGCTTGAACGCAATTCGTTCATTTAGATAAATTTAGGCACTGTGTAATGCTTTTATTATCAACGACCGAGTAGCGTTGATGTGCACAACGCGGTATCGCTTCGTGCACTTGATCGGGAGGCCAGCGGGACAGACCCATCTCCCATTCTTTTTCACGCGCTTAGGTATCGTGTGTATTAAAACTTGAATTCAGGATACGCGTAAGCTATTCGAGAAAAACAACATTAGACAATGCGAGAGTCAACCCTAATCTAGCTTTCGAGTTCCTAGTCAAGTAAGTCTCTCGTTTTTTTGTGACCTCGCTCTATTTGCCACGATACCTTCCACCGTTCCCCTGCCAAGTTCTCTTGCTCCCCAACGCAGGACTCGGGATCGGGGAACGAGGGTGACTTCGACCGAGAAGAAGGCGGTGGCCTCTATGTGGGCGACACCCTCTTCCTGCCCGACGAAATTGTTCGCGACCCACTGCTGGGACGGATAGCCGAGTGGGACTACCCTATATTTGATCTCAACAGGCTAAATCCGGATACCATACTCAGCAAGGTATGTGACAGGTCTCCCTTGTTCCTGGACAAAACCTATATTCAAGTCCTCAACTACAGATAAGGCACTGTGCTAATATTTGAGCGCTTGCAGAGTGCAAACGAATGCTACCCAATTCATATTGGCTTCGACACCAATTAAAATTTGTGAATTTCTAAACAGAATAGTAAGGTATTTTACTGCCTTCAATTCACTTTACTGCCTTCAATTCCACCTAAAAGGGCGTTCTCACTACGCCCCGCTACCACTATGCATGAAGTTGAATTTTCACTGCTTGCCAAGTCCACACTGTGAGGATCAAGTTTTCACTTTTCCTGCATTCGGCTAAATATATCAGTATAGAAGTATGCCATGGCACCAGCTTATATGTGCTTAGTATGGGCAATTTTATAACTTGCCATATTTTACTCTTTATAACTGGCACCTCTATAATTGTGAAATTTCCTACTCTTTAAATTGGATTATTCGGTGCCAATTATCATTTGCTACAACGTTTAACGACAAAGTGATATTCACGCAAGCCTGCTATAGATTTTTATCACAAATGCTTTAAAGATCTTATCACCATCATGTGGTCCTCTGGCAGCAGAAAGTATGCCAGATGCCCTCTAAAAAACACCCATGCTCAAATAGCAGGGACCAGGTATTGTACTTCTATTCTGTAGCAGTTTGGAAAGCAGATGTAGAAATTCTGTTGTACAGGAACGTCTATCTGTACAGTATTTATTATATACAGCTTGTTGGCATTCCCTGTCCTGTGCGAATCGGTGATATCAATGCCACTATTTCGCTGATATCAATAACCATTATTTTTTGAAGGTACGTAGTAAAGTGGTAATAATAGGGCATGCATAATTATTTCTCACACAACTCACTATATCTTCACATTATATTCACATTTTATTATTCGCATATTATACAGTATTATTTAACTATGTGCCCTTCAGTGGTTAGTGTCTGGATAAAATGTGAAGAGTCAATGAGGGAAATGTGCTGTAGGGATATTCACATCTACCATGAAAGAACGTAACATGTTTTACACAAATACCCAGACTGTTCTTAGGTAAATATCCTAACTGTTCATTGCAAAAAAGTAATTTCTTTGCTAACAGTCATCTATCATTCAATATATAGTGTGTTCTATGAATTCTCCTCCTGGTGTCACTGAAAAACGAATATTCATGGTCCTAAATTTGAATCAACTACATTCACCAGCATTTATGAATACTGCATGCTAAACATTTTTTCACGTTTACCCTCTCTTTTTTTGTGAGAACACGTAACATGTTATAGTCACATTTATCCACCCTAGTTACCACAGATATCCGCTGGCTGTCGATTCTGAATACAAATGTCCGGTCGAATGCATCTTCAACACAGTTAGCCAGTGGATTTACAGTGAAAATCTATGTCTCGTGTGTCTGTTTTCTGGACATTCGAACTGGATGTCCGACCGGATATTAAGTTTTGAACTTTGACTGGCTGTCCATATAAGGACATGCCAAGGATATGTGCATTTGCTCATCAGTTATTGTAAAATTATAATGTAGTGAAAATATATAGAGATCTGCAGAATCCCAAGTGCCATTCTTGTAAAATTTCATTAAAAAGGCTACTATATATTCATTCAAATTTCTGCTTGCGCATTTGATCCTAAAATGCCGAACAATTTTGCTTCCTCAGGCAAAACAATCTCGTTGATTCAATATGTGTATCATATCTCGTAAAAAAGAATGTATTTATTGTTAATAATATTACATGTGAACTAACGCAAAATGCGGATCTAACGCAAAATGCAGATCGAGCGCGTCTTAGCAATCATGATGTATACACAAACTCCCATGTGGTAGCCTCGACACTTCTCAACAAGCGGTGCACCACAGTTGCTCAGATTTTTCTAGCGTACACGTAATGGTAGCCGTGCCGTTCTGGATGTGTCGGAAGAAAACGCATGCCATTGTGCCTATTGTCCCGAAACCTGCTTGACCAGCGGCGCGCACTGAGGGAATAAAAACGGGAAAGGAGGGTATTCGTGTCCTGTCCCATATATCTACGCTAAGCCGGTCTCCTAGCGGCAGAAGGCAGATTTTTTTTTCAAGTGCGCCCGTGTGGACATCAACAGCAACATGTGAAGTTACAAACGATGACTTTTCTACAAGAAACATCGAAACGTGGCATGAGCCCACCACTTTTCCAGCAGAGATTACTATGGCAAGCAGCAGCAACCCCACTCACTCGCACGGCACAGATAAGGCCACGGGTTACATATCTGTTTTTTACATGCTGATATCGGACATTTATCTGTTCTTAGCACGCGTTGACTATTGACCATCATTTGTATAAGCCCTGCTAATATGTGGCATTATTCCAGCTCTTCATTTGCTCGCATGTTCCTTGCTATTAACCAATTTAAGACAAGCACGTGGTCAGTGCCGGTAAACCTTTTTTAGAAGCATGTGCTGCACCCATAGTTTTTCTCCTGTGCTTGTCTGTATGTACGTATTGAGGTTCCAAGAATAACATTGCCCTAAACACTGCACGAGTTGTGTTTGTCGCTAATAACTTAATTTATTAAACCCGTAACGAAGCAATTGCTGCCACCTAAGAAGTCGTCGCACTTGAAAACGGAAGGGCATTGAACACTAAAATCTCGTAAAACTCGTATACACTTTCACAATCGCAGCTCCAGACTGTGAGTTATGTGCTTATTAGTCTTAAAATATCTTGATAATAAAGGTTTAATTCTTGGAAGCCTGCTTGGGCTCCATTTTTTTTAAGAATTCATTTGCAGCAAAAAAGCTCCCGCGGAAGAAAGAGAGGCTTCCGAGTAGGCTGTGTGGATACATTTTTCACGTGAAAGCTTTTTCTGGAATATGCACAAGCTATATACACACAGTGAATATATATATATATATATACTCTGAATGTCCATGTTCGCTGGCTGAACGGTTGTCGAGCGAACATACAAATTTGTCACGTTTGTACATGTGATGTACGTCCATGGGACGTATAGTGTACATTCGTGGACATTTTATGGATGTCCGAAATATCTGAAATGCACGTCCTGTTGTATGCCTATCAGATATTCGTGGTTACTTTGGCACTTATAAAATGATTCACGAGGGAGATTACATAACTTCTAGTGGGAACATTTAATACAGACTATAAAGACACATAGCTTCAAAATTTATAAAAAAGCAGAGTGTATAGAGATGTACTTAGTCGATCCATGTGAGTTGGACCTTATCGGCCTTCTGAATATTCTTTCTTATTTGCTTATTTCAGATGTGTTATCGCGTATTTTTAGAAGTTGGTCTGTTCGATGCCTTCAAAATCCCGGAGCCCGAGTTTCTTCATTACTTCCACGCACTCGAGAGTGGTTACAGAGAAAAACCATGTGAGTCTCTGAATAATTATTTGCGTCTCGCTTCATATCTTCACGGGTGTTTGCCAAGGTAGCACTGTTGTCAGCTTGCAGGGATTTCTCGCCATGGGCTCTATAATGTACATCTTACCTCAATTTGATCATTTAGGTAGGAATAGGTACAAATATAAAAACCCATTCATTTTGCAGCTTTATTCTAAAAGACTGCATGACAGTCTGAAAAGATTACGCAGGTTCTTAACAACTTTCTGTCAGTAAGTGCAATGTGTTTAATGTACGGCTTACGAGAAAACAGAGGACCTCCGCAGTGGCAGCACCGCTAGCAATGGTAGTTTTCTTGTTTCGTTCAGTCCTACTTTGCTGGAAGCAGTTGTAAACAGCATAGAAATAAATGGTAAAAATATAGAAATTCAAAGAGAATGTTCTACCACCTCCTCCTTTTTACGGCACTTTTGCTGTGCCTTGTTAGTTTTGGGCTGATTTGTAATGATTGCAAAGAATCCTGGCCGTGTACCTCTTGAAAGGGGATAAGGAAACAACTGCTGTTGAGGCTATTTTTCTATGATGACTGAATGTTGCAAGGTCTAACTGTTTGTACCACTGGTAAAAAATAAATCCATGAAGTACTGTCAGTGAATGCAAGGATATTCGCCGAGCAACGGCCATGTAAGGTGTGTCTCTATCAGACGTTCTGTTTTTCCAAGTGTGTGGTATTTTAACAGATGAGTGGTTTATGCATGAAACAGACAATGTTTAGAATATTGGTTGCAAAAAAAATAGGGCTGAGATTGATCCAATAACGATCACCGCACGTGTAGGCAACAGTGGAGTTTCAAACCTTATTTTGAACCTGACGGTGACAGCGACACGAAGAAATGCGCTATAGATGTTCGTATCAAATCTATGACAATAAAAGAAATGCTTGTGTCAAGAAAAAAAACTTTCAGGATGTTAGCCTCTAATAGAGGGCGCATAGGTTATTGCTGTGGCGTTTCGGTCCTCATTTCCTGCTATTTTTTTTCTTCATTACTAATGCTAACTCACCAAACAAATTGCGACATGATCACTTTTAGTCAATGCAATGTGATTCCATCAAACAGGTGATGATTTTTATCCACGTGTTTCTCGTGGCTTTTGAAACATCGCGATTTTGCAGTGTTCAACCTTTCTGTAGTTTCGTACTTGGCTTGTGTTGGCCTTTGTTTCCTCTTTGTTACCTCTTGGGAACTCACCTAACAACTTAAATTGGTAACACACCATCACAGTCCTGTACTATCTGTGTCAAATGAAACCTGCACAGCGGGAAGCATTAGCAATGGTATAGTGCGCGCCATACGGTCCGTCGCTATTGACAGGTGCACAACAATCCAATTTGGTAGGACTGCGCATGTGCATGGTTATGACAGGACGACCCGCACTATACCATTGCTAATGCTTGTTGCTGTTCTGGTTTCATTTGATGCAGATAGTACATGCACAATGACATCTGATCGCTATGTATCGCATTCCGCTCCTCTAGTTCAGTCGATCGTATGAGACCTCTATCACTTTCGCCAATAGTTTTCCTCGCTTTCATTTTCGCACGCGTCAGATCACAATCGAATGCACGCCGCGGACGTCCTCCACGGGGTGTACTACCTGACGTCACAAGCCATCCCTGGCTTCGTGCAAGCCGTGCCGGACACCACGGACTTCGCCGCTTCACAAGACAGCCGGGAACTTCTTAGCAGGTGACACCTATTCCCCAGTGAAATGAAAAATCGAGGCACACTTTTAGTTGCGCCCCATACCAAACAAAAAGGCTTTGTTGCAGCCAGCCTGCACCTTCCTGAGGCGTCACCTCACTATTTTTTCGAGCAACTCTAAACTATAATACCTTCACTAATGGTATCCAGTCACTTTAAGGGGTCTATCTCAAATGATACAGTTTTTTTATACTTCATTCTTGTTTAAGTTAAATTATATTTGTCATAAATAATTTGTTTTGGTCTTCAATTTGTAATTGCCTTATGTGGGTTGTAACTAAATATGCTAACACAAGAGCTCACTTACAAACAAACGGCAGTAATGATTATGTCCATAAATTTACATCTGTTTTGTTAATATTCGGAGGGCTTAGTGGTGATATCACTCGATGAAATGTTTTAGTCATTGATCTTGTAAAATGAAGGTTCACTTTTTGCATGTGATGCCACTTTCATACTTATTGTTTTTTTTGCACTGACATTTTAATGTTAACATATAATAACATGGCCTCATAGCTGTTGAGAGAGTGCCATCTATGTGTTTTGGGCACTTTTGATGCCAAGTCTGTGTCGTTAGCCAGTACATGAGGGTTAACCATAAATAATGGTTATAATGAAAATACTAACTTGTCTTTATCTAAAATACCCAATCTTACTAGTTTTCATTATCGAATTTGGGGTCTTGTAATCAGCTGCCATGCAAAATATTTAGCAGTAGAATTTTTGTGTGCTTTTGGCGTCAATTAACAATGCTTGTGAGCAACAGGTATACCAAGTATTTATGGAATGTGTGAATACATCTTTAAAATTTGGAACGCTTTTCGTTATCACTAATTTTCTACGCTGTTTGTTAGAAGCTACCAGTTCAAGATTTGCAGTTGATTTGGCTGCTCTGCAGCACTTTAGTTAAGCTTTAGTAATACAGAGTTATTTATAATGTTACGATAACGGGTTATCAGTGCAATATTTCGGTATTTCGCAGCTGCACATTGGTTATACTGCGGCCTATGAATCATGAAGTTAGAGCTCGCTCCCGGCATTTCGTAAGTTAAAAGTACATCATTACCCATAGTCTTTCACGACTTTCCGGATGCCAGCTTTCTGGTTTAAAATCTATGTTCACTCATTAGGAATTTATACAGGAAGCGATACGTGCTTGGTCTATACGCTCTTCGCAGCTGACCGTTAATTAAGTTTCCTCGTAGCGTCCTGGATGCGACAACAACCGTTCGCGAGCGACTCATAACCTATTCGAGCATCACCAGAGCACCTTTGGGCGATGTCTCACCCTCAAGAACAATATTTTCGTGTGACTGCACAATGTCACTGTGGCAAACTTTTTAGCTATGAAATCGCAGTCCGCTAAAGCTTAAGGCCTAGTTTTCATTGCCGACGTACACAAACTCAAGTTCTTTACGGGCATAAAGAATACGGTCGTAACGATGAGTTCCAATGTTCCTCTTAAGCTAAGCAGAGTATAACAGTTTTGGACACAATATGAAAACAATCATTAGGGGCTTTTAGCTTGTTCGCATACTTCTTTACGTAACCTGTTACCGGATACCGATTTGCATTTACCATCCTATCACAACGCCTGTCTTTCAATGTTTCAAGCCTCATACGTAAACATTTATGTACATACGTAACAGTGTATACCTTTACGTTTTCGCAAACCATGAATTGTGATGTTAACTGCATTTAAACTGCATTTAACTTGCATAGGATTGAATCGCCATTGTGGCAAGATCACTAGTTGTTGTTTTTTTATCCTGTACAGTATCCTCGTATGCACAAAAGGGTAAAAAATACATTGTTACTGCAGCGATGGTGTCGACATCTTGTGACAATTCGCGCAACCAATCATCAATATGTTGGCTCACGGCGTCTATGTTCTAGGCCATTCTAGCTTTGGTAATCTGGCTGAAATAATGTAATCGCTAGTGGCGCTCACACTTCGCATTATTTTAACTCGACGGCTACAGTCTCTGCAGTGTGGATACCTCGAGTTCCTAGAAACGAAGGTGAATTTGTGAGATAGGGCAGGAAATATAAAGCCTCTCTGGCAGGCAGTTTACGTAACATAAAGTTTTACGTTCCGTAAAGACCCGCACATGCACAAATTCTATCCATTATCTAGTAAAGAAGTATGTGTGCAAGCTTTTAAAAGCCCTTATTCGTTCGTCTTCATTTCCGGAACATTCCTCAAAAATACATTGCAAGAAAAGGCAAGCTTGTACAGAGCATGACTTAATTAATCAATGCTGACAATTCATGTGCCAAAACCACGACATGACTACAACACACACCATAGTAACTTAGACTACTTAAGGTTCTTTAATGTACGCCTAAATCTAAGCAATAGTTTTGAAAGTTGGGCTAATTGGGCAGTTGTGCTGTACCTATGCATAGATTTAAACTTACAGGTGCACTTTGCATTTCACCCTCACCGAAACGTGGCAGTCGTGGCCATTGATCGTACTCGTTCCCTAAACCTTATCAAGGCTACACCTTATGTGCTAAGCTACCACGATAAGTGGCGTGATTGTCGCAGGGATTCACCATAACCTTGATACGCTATGCATGGAAGCTCGTGGACAGGTAAAAGTGGGGATTTTGTTGTAAAAACCTTCCCGTAGTATTTCGCCACTGTAGGCCTTGGCACTGATGAGTTCTGGAAAAACGCAGCATCATGATGTCGGATTGCCTGCAGCATCATTCTCAGAGGGCACGCCAAATAACAACATGTTGTTCTGTGAAAATATCTCGAGGCGATTCCTTTCAGTACTAGGGGTATCATCGATGTTCAAGAAATGATGCTGCGTGGCTCACCTTTGACTTTTCTGGCTGTATGGGACGGCACTGTTCCCACTTTGCGTTCACAATAGTGTTTTTTGGAGTTACTTAGGCGGGATATATTATGTACAGAGGGGGGATTCGAGAGAGCAATGCTGTAATGGTTAATGCTGTCAGATTGCATAAAATGCCTACAAAATTAATAAGAAGCCCATGCAATAAAAAAAATGACCGAAAGACATCTAGAATTGTTATTTCAACGTATTTAAGGTGCACAAAACACTTCAAGTTTTATTTATATATATTTTATAAATTACTGTTCGTTTACTTACAGAGTACGTTTTCCAGGGGAAGGACATTTCACAACAATAAAAAGTGAATGCAAGGCACGGTTCATACAAATATATAAAATATATAATACAAATGAATGAACAGTAAATATAATATATGGTATCCAATATACAGTATATGTTGTATATGAAATGTGTACTCATTTCATAGCGCTATGCATATTTTTAAATACATAGTAGTCTTCATCTTCTGTACGCCACAACATTCTTGGTTAACTTACTCTTTAAACAGTTTCTGTTCTTTGCTTTAAGCACTCTTAAGGCTGGGTTGGCACAGCCACGCACGTGTGAAAGAAGAAATACAATTGTAACGTTTTCAACGCCATTGCAGTAAGTGTCCACAAATCTGCTTTTATTGTCTACAGAAGAAACTTACGGTATCATGGGAGCCAACTTTCCGGCGTTAGAACTCATGGCCCTCTACACAGCAGCTGCCATGCACTGACTATGACCACCCTGGCAGAACGAATGCCTTTTTGGTCTCCACGTACGCACCACAGGTAAGGGAAAATTACAGCTAGTGTCTGTGTCGAATGCGCAAAAGAAGTGATATCGTTTTACTCTTGAGCAAAAAAAAACGTATGCTAATCAGCGTAAAGAAACTGCATCTGGGTGGCTTGACATGATTTACAGTCATTGTCCAAGTATTTAAAGGCAACTAGATTGATTGATTGATTGATTGATTGATTGATTGATTGATTGAAATAGCTTTAATGAAGGGCCACCAGAGATCAGGGTAATTAGAATAGTCGTGATTATTTGACGGGCATTCTTGAATGTTGATTTCTCGCCTGTTCTAAAACACGCCAACATGTAGTGAGTTCGACTGAGGACAGTCACAAATTGCTGCGAAATTCAAAATTTTGTCAGATGTGGTAGTCTCTGAACTTTTGACGACAATCGCAAGTAGATTCATGACATCAAGTTGACCTAAAAGGACACACTGGTATGCACATTAGTAAGAGTAAAAACATAGCGAATGAATTATTTAAAGCCCGAGGAAATTGTGGATCATGCAGTGAGGTACGGCAGCAAGTGATGAGACTTCGGGGATAGGCTTACAGATATGTGGCAGGAGTGGTGTTCATTATTCTGTTCAATTTACCAGATATAATTGGGATTAGTTAATTATGTTACATAAAGAACAATGAAGTGAAGGTCTTGTCATAGTATAAAATAAATGTCACGTCTAGGAAAAGAAAAATCCGGCCATCCTCACTTCCCAAGCACTGTCGAAACAGCAAAGCTTAGATTCGTCCTTCATCGTGCTACATTGTACTTCTGCATTTTTCTAGTATTCTATTCGTTGGCACTCAGCTGTGGCCTCTTTTGCGCGAACATCGTGGTTGACTCGATGATGGAATGCCCGTTCGTGAGTCACTGTCGCTGATGCTCACGTCGGGCACCTTCTTCATGTTTTTCATCTTGAAAACTGCTGGACGCTACTACTAATACGTTATTGTACACTCTACGGCGCCTCATCGTCAGCTCATCTTGAAGCGTTTCTCGAAGGTCCACCCCTCGTCAACCTCAGTCATCACCTCTCGCAGCGCACGCAGCTCTCCTATTCTAGAGGCATGACCGCACGAACCCATCACAGCGTGTTGCTTTTTCACGTGGTGCGGCACCCTATCTCTTTGGCAAGAGAGGGTGCGTGGCTGCGCGAAGTTGCACAACATGTCTCTGCGTCAGGGGAGGGTACAGCGCCGCATTAAAAGGCAACGCCCTGACGCGCTGCAACGGGTACGTGTGGTCAGACCTTTACCGAGGCTCACTTTCGCCATATTACGTGGCCATGTGATCAGCGCTACCACAACGTAGGACACGAAAACCACAGCTAAGAGCACTTTCGCTGTTAATAGTAAGGCTATGTGTTTGCTGAGATGAAATGGCATGGTTTGGAGATGAGGAATGTCGTGGAGGACACCATAGGGATGACAGACATAACTTCGGATCACTGAAAGCTGCACTCGACCCGTATTAACCGGTATAAGGATTTTTTTTTCATATGTCATCGTAACTTGTGCAACTAGCCAAGACAACAGAAAGAAATGGATGAGCACCGGCTCGAACTAACAGCTGATTTTATTGAGGGCTGGTACACTAGTTTAAGTTGGTTTTGTGTTCACCTGTGCTTGTCGCTTTCACTGGTTTAAGCTAGTGTCCACCTGTGCTTGTCGGTTGCATTCTGTTGCATGTGTCTAGTTATGCTGCTTACGGTAATATTTGTTTCTATACACCAATCCGACCAACACTTAATTCCTTTAAAGGGTTATTTTAATGGTCATTATTATGATGCATTTAACTTACAATTCTCTTGTTACATTGCACCCCATGGTACTTCCAAAGCAAATCATGTGGTGTAAAGCAAGGTCGTGTAAACAAGAGACATCCGACTTGTTTTTATCCTCAAATTATATTTAGCAACACAACACTTGAAACGGGGACTTGTGGCAGTTATCCTGCTCTCTGCATATTTCATAGCATAGGCTGAACACGAAAGTCTTTCAAGGGTCATCAAGCTCAAATATTGCTTATGTCAAAGTTGGTGCTGTGTTTCTCAGTGTGACATCCGTGTGTTACATTTACAGGCGGTATTATACAACGACCGGTCGGTGCTGGAGAACTACCACGCAGCGTCTGCATGGACGTTATTTCTGTCCGAGCCAAAATTCAACTTCCTCGTGCACCTGGACAAGGCGGAGTTCAAGCGGTTTCGCTTCCTCGTCATTGAGTGCATTCTCGCCACCGATCTCAAGAGGCATTTCGAGATCCTTGCCGAATTTAATGCGAAGGTAAGTCCAACCGCAGTCAAACAATGTTTCTTCTGACGAGTGACTACCTTACCTGTCCTCTCACTGTTTGAAATGTTTCATGTTTAATTGCTTCCAAGGAATAAAGTGCCATTTATATTGTAGGAAGACGAGCGGCGTTTGGATTTTCCTACATTTTTTTATTTATCCCTGCTTTGGCATGGACGTTCACAGATGCTGCCGTTCTTGCTGGCATCTTCTCTCGTTCTGGCTCAAACATGCAGAGCAGCTGCGGCACAACTTCTTCATCTTCTCCGAGATGCTGGCGGCTTGCCTCTCTAGTGAGGTAGCCAGTGGGCGAAGGAGAAACCCCTATGAGCAGGTTATAGGTTCTGATGTTGCAAAGCACGTTCGCCTGGTTTTCGCAGATGGCTTGTAGTCTTCGAGGATGGCGTCAGTGTCGAAGAAAGCCTGCTTTATGCAGTCAATGCAGACACTGTCTTCGCGTCCATTAAGCAGCAAAACGAAATGCATTGGGCAATGCACGACGACCTTAAAGGGTCCGTTGTAAGGAGGTCGCAGTGGTGGCCTGATTGCGTCATGTCGTACAAAGACATAGGTGCAGTTACGAAGCGCACGAATGGCAAAACTTGGGCGTGAGTGTTGACGTGCAGGAATAGGAGACACATCTCTCATGGCATTCCGGAGGCAACTGGCATAATCAGCTACGTCCAATGGTGATAGCGGTGACGTGTCGAAAAACTGTCTAGGAAGCCTTAGGGTATGGCCAAATACGAGCTCAGCTGAAGGGCAGGACGCGTCCGTACGCATCTTGCTGCACAGGGCGAGAAGGACAGGTAGTAGTCACTCCGTCCAGGGTATCAATGATTGGGAGGCTATGAGTGAAGCTTTGAGGTGGCGTTCATATCGCTCAACCATGCCATTCGACATCAGATGGTAGGTTGTCATCCTGATGTAGTTGACACCAAGCATTCGAGACACGGTGCGGAAGAGTGCAGAGTCAAATTGACAACCTTGATCCATTGTGATGGTCTTGGGAACTCCGTAGCAACTTATCCACACGGTGATGAGTCCGCGGGCAACTGACTCGGCTGTGATGTAAGTGAAGGGTAGTGTCTCAAGCCAACGCGTGAACCGGTCTATGCAGATTAGCATATATCGGCTGTTTTTGCGATGGGTGCAAAGGGCCTCTGAGGTCCAGGTGCACGTGACTGAACTGCAAGTCAGGAGGCGTGAAGGTACCCAGTGGTCTGACCATGTTGTGCTGGACTTTGGTTAGCTGGCACTTGAGACAGGCACGTGTCCAGCGGCGGATGTCGATGTTCATTCGAGACCATAGATATCGCCCTGTGATGAGGCACTGAGTCGCAGATATACCGGAGTGCGACAAGGAATGCAAGGTGTCGAATACTCTGCGGCAAAATGGTGCTAGAACGTAAGGACAACGACAACCAGTAGAGGTGTTGCAAATGAGGAGAATCGCGCAGCCTGGAAGTTGGACATATTCGAACTTGAGGAAATTTTCTTGGAGTCGCAACACCTGAAGCTCGCTGTCGTCCTTTTGTGCAGTAGCCATGGCTGCAAAATCGACTGGTGGGCACTCATCCATAGTTGTGTTGATTTCTATTTGGGAAAGCGCGTCAGCAATGAGGCTGTCTTTGCCACTGATGTGCCGGATATCACTCGTGAACTCGGATATGTAGGCAGTCTGGCAGATCTCAGGGGGGGTGTAGGAAGAGTTGGTACCGGTCGATTGACACATAAGCGGCTTGTGGTCGGTGAGGATATGGAATTGCCGACCTTCTAGGAAGTGTCGAAAGTGCTTGACAGCCAAATAGGCCGCGAGCGGTTTGCGACTGAATGTGCTATAATGACGTTTTCTCTGTGAGAGCTTCCGTGAGAAGAAAGTGACCGGCTGCCAAACTCCGTCGAGGAACTGCTGCAAAACCGCTCCTACGACGACGTCCGAGGCATCCACTGTGAGTGATGTGATGATGTCACTCTTTGGATGCACGAGGAGAGTTGCATTAGCCAGAGCTTTCTTGATGGTACTGAAAGCTGTCTCTGCATCGCCCATCCAGAAGATGGAAGCGTTGGCTTCGTTTGACCGGTTAGAAGTGTATGGAATGGTTGCAAGATGGTAGCGCAATGAGGTAAACCGCTGGTAATATTTGACAAGCCTGAGGAATTCACGTAGTTTCTTCATAGTTGTTGGTCGTGGAAACTGCTATATAGTTTCAGCACGCGCTGCCGGTGGAGAGATCCCACGCGAATCCACGCAATGGCCAAGAAAGTCCAGTGAAGAAACACCAATCTCGCTCTTTGGTCCGTTGACGACTAGTGCATATTTGCAGGGTCGTGTGAAAACCTTACGCAGGTCAAGTTCGTGACCTTCTGCAGTGATGCTGAAGACAAGTATGTCATCGACGTACACGAAGCAGAAGGTCAAACAACAAAGTACCCAGGTCCACAAACCGTTGAAGGGTTTGTGTGGCGTTTCATAGACCGAAGGGCATACGCATGTATTCAAACATGCCGAAAGGTGTTATTATGGCAGGCTTCGGTACGTCAAAAGGCTCTACAGGCAATTGGTGGTATGCCTTTACTAAGTCGATTTTGCTTAATATGATGGAATTATGCAGCAATGCCGTGAAGTCCTGGATGTGTGGTATTAGATAGCGGTCCGGTATTGTCACTTTATTGAGGGCACGGTAGTCACCACAAGGGCTTGAAAACTATGTGTAGCAGTGACGACCAGGCACCGAAAGAGGTGCGGGCCTATCTGAGTTCAAGCATGTGCTCCAATTCTTGGCGTGCAATTTTGTAGTGGTCAGGAGCGAGACAATGAGCATGTGCAAACACCGGCTCTCCTATTGTCACTATGTGATGAGTGACATTATGTTGTATCCGGTCTTCAAGAGATGGAGCACGAAAGTGGTCAGAAAATTTTTGCAAAAGCGTATATCACGGTGGTGAGACGTTGGCATGAGCTTGAACGAGATGCAAGAGTGGCTAAGTTGATGTCACGCCCTGAACTGTGAGAATGGTTTCAGAATCCATGAGACGAATATGTCGTAGGTCTACCACAAGCTGAAAATGCCAAAGAAAATCCGCACCAAGGATGGGTACACGCACGTCGGCGATTAAAAAGATCTATCAAAACATGCGTCTCAGGAGGATGTCAAGTGTGACAAACCTCTGTCTGTAGGTTTATATGGGCGAACCATTGACTGAAGTGACGGGCGGCAAGGTCTGGTGTCGGTGGCAGTCCTCCAACGTAGGAGGAACAACGCACACTTCGGCACCTGTGTCAAGGGGTAGCGAACTTTGGTGACGCGGTCTGTGACGTGGGATAGGCAACTCTATGTCGGGCCTGAAACACCGGTCACAATCAGTGCATGGCTCATGCGTTTCCCGCACACTGGCATGGCTGTTTGCACTGACGAGCTCGAGCTTGGTATTGGTGACGGTACTAGCAGACGCCTAGAGGCAGACTTGGTGATCTGTCGCGGTTTTGGGCCATTGTCGTGACGCGTTGTGGTGGTGGTCTACCTTGAGCGCGCTTAGTTCAGTGGCCAACTGATTCACCTTGCGGTTGAACTCTTCCTTAGCTTGAAGAAGGTGGTCCAAGCAGTTATCATGGACCAGCATAGAGAGGGTAGATTCACATGGTCTCTTGATCGCAGATATGGACTGGGCACCAATATCCATAATCTCATCGGCCATCTGACCTAGTGAGTCAAGGTTTCTGTAGATAATACACTCAAAATTATCCGCACCTACTGTGGCTGTCGCTGTAAGAGTTCGCGTAGGATGGAGGCGTCCAATGCAGCAGAGTGGTCCCCGATCAGGTGTCGCATACGATGCAGAAGCTCCGTAGGCATTCAGTCACCAAGTTCTTCCAAAGTGATCAGCTGCTGCAGCCTATGCTGTTCCGACTCAGTTGTTCCGATGTATGAGCTTGTCTTTAAGCGTGTCGTAGGGGTTTTCAATAGGTGTAGAACGCAGAATGTCTTTTACGATGGCGATGACAGCAGGTGGTAAAGCGACGATGACATAGTCGTACCTCGCAGTTTGCGACGTTACCCGGTGTCTTCGGAAGAATGGACCGATGCTCAGAAACCAGAGTTTAGAGTACGCCTGCCAAAACTCTGGGAGCCTGAGGGTAGCGACGACAGGGTTAGGTACCGTGAGATTCGGCGTGGCGTCGCTGTTGGGTGTGGGGTTCATGGTCAGCCGAAATTAACGGGGCTGAAGGCCAGAACGGTAGTCACCGAAGAAGCTGAGCAGACGAGAAGTACAGAAGGAGAGCTGCCGAAGAAGAGCTGCGGTCGTGGCGTCCAGCCAGCTAGAATCAGAGTTGGTCGTGATGCTCGGCGCGTTGACGAAAGTACGAGTAGGTGCGGCGTTTTGTGTCCTACATTTTTTTATTTATTCCTGCTCTGGCATAGATGTCCAGAGACGCTGTCATTCTTGCTGGCGTCTTCTTCTCTCGTGCTGGCTCGAATACGCGAAGCAGCTGTGGCACAACTTCTTCATCTCCGAGACGCTGACGGCTTGCCATATTATGATGTCCGCCGTGATAGAGCAGTGAATAAAACGGCCGGCTGCTGGCCCAGAGGTTGTGGGTTTGATTCCGGCTGTGGCGTTCGCATTTCAATGTAGGTGAAATGGTAGAGGCCTGTGTGTGCTGGGTGATGTCAGTGCTCATTAAAGAACACCAGATGGTCGAAATTTCCAGAACTCTTTACTACGGTGTCTCTAATATTCATATTGTGGTTTCGGGACGTAAATACCCCAGGTAATATTATTACCATTTATATAACAGTGAACATAGGGATTCACGTAACAAAAAGGAATTGCAGTACAGCCAATTATTGAAGTTGTTAATAGTGCAGTGACTAATGACGTCATCATACTTTCCGTAACTTCAAACATTGTTGTCTACATTTCATGTGTACCCTTCGTTTGGTAGCCAATTCACTCAGTGCCCATTTACTGATAAGCACTGAGTGGCATTCGTTACTTACATTCTGCACTCAGCATCTTGATAAACAGCTACCTAAAGAAGCTTTAATCTTCCGGTGTAGTAGTTCTTTTGGTTTATTTAAATGCTATTGTGCGGTTTTTTAAAATAATGTGATTTCCTGATGTCGCTTTTAATAGCTTTGACTCGTAAGTCATCATTTGAGTGAATGCCTTCTTGCATCGCTTTACTCTGTCATCTTTGGTCAGGTTCATAATAATAACAGTGGTTATTACTTCAATCTCGATAACTTATAAGCACTGAAGATACTTAGCTTGAACGAACGCCTGTTACTAATCTGCACCATATATAAAAAAAAGCCACTGTCAGTGAAGGCTCGCTCAACATAACAGGTAGCAGATGAGTGTGCTATATGTAGGCTTGTATTCTATTTTCCACGAATGTTCAAGTGCAAGAGTAGACAAGAGACTACATCGCCATAGCTTTACACTTGCTTTCTGAACCTCAAATACCTAATATGTATCAAGTCTCCCTTAACATTGCCTAGTACGTACTTCATATTGAATGAATTTTGATGGCGGGAATACTGGCAGGCTTATAAATTTGTAGGAAAGATCCCTTGACTTCTTCAGCTCCCAAGTCTATAGCCATTTATATTCAATTTTTTGCGGCCACTCACATTACCAAGGCTGTAACCTGGTCTTATTCATAATTGCTATTTCTTCTTGGTAGGCAAATGACACAGATGCCCCGGGGATCGATTGGAACAACGAGACTGACAGGCTGCTTGTGATGGAGATGGCTATAAAGCTGGCCGACATCAACGGGCCATGCAAGAGGCACGACATCCATGTACAGTGGACGTACAGGATAGCCGAGGAATTTTACGAGCAGGCAAGCATTTCTTTTTGCCTTCCTTCTCATAACGCCCTACCTTCTATTACCTCCTCTTTCAGAGCATCTGATACTGAGGTTATCTCAACTGGAGATATGGAATGCTGTTATTCACTGTTGCCGAGAAGAAAACATCTCGCCTATTTGCTTATTGCGTGACAGACAATACTTAGGCAATGTACTATGTTTTAATGTCGTGTTCTTCTAACGGTCAACATCGCATTTAATGTCAAAGAAGCGATAGTGTGGGAAAACATGTATTCCCTTTTTTTAGATGCGAAGCAGCTTTTTCACTAGCCTGTGTCACAGCTGCCCTCCGTCCACACCACGCTCCCATGGTCGCAGGTGTTGGGGGGGTACCAAGTAAGTCACGCCTTCCCTCGCAGTGCACGAGCATTCACATCACTCTCTGCCTGGCCTGTCGCTCGCCGCTCGCCGCGTGCCATCTCTCTCACTTCACTCTCTGCACTGCTCGCAACATTGAAGGAGTCACTGTTAACGCTCGGAGTCGGCGTGCGCTACGTATGTTTAACTTCGACCTGGAAGAACGATCTGGAGCCTCTCGAAAAAGCTCCTGCTCCAAGTGCATTGCTGTGCATGTCAGCGACGTCGCCATCCTCACGCTGTACCTCGCTCCCAACCTGCCGAAGGAACAGGTTCAGCGCTGTCTGAAGGAGACCCTGACGGAGTGCAGCGAGGCCTGTAGGCATGCGCCTCTGGTCGCGGGAGACTACAACGTTGACATCAGCGGAGGAGGAGGAGAATGACTCTTCGAGAACATGTGTGGCATGCACTCGCTGAAGTGTGTGTCGGCAAAACAGAAACCACCCACCACGATAAACGGAACGTGTATCGATCTGGTTTTTGCCAACTTAGAAAGTTCAATAAGGACAATGTATTGTTTTGAGTTTGTGTTAGATCTGCTTAAAGTCACAGGCTTCTCAGGTTTCCCAGATATCACTGCTAGACACTCAAAAATATGGCTGTGACCTTAGTGATAGCCAGCCACTGTGACAGTGAGCAAATATTCTTGCTTCTCTGGATAGGGCGACGAAGAGGCGACGCTAGGCATGCAAGTGTCGCCGTTCATGGACCGCTGCAACCCGCAGCTGGCAAAACTACAGGAGTCCTTCATCAACCACCTGGTGGCTCCTCTGTGCAATGCATACGGCGAGGCCTGCCTGCTGCCCGGCCACTGGGTCGAGGCTTCGGACAGTGAAGACGAAGGCTAGTACACCAGTGGCCTTGGCACCACTTATTCAAATCTTTCATTTAAAGAGAGGAGGGCCAAGACGAGACCTTTGCTTTCTAGCTTTTCTTGTTAAATGATTGTAATTATCAGGATACCCAAAGCCAAAATACGTCATTGCAGCAGCCGTCGCCGTAATGTTTTTTTAACTCCAGGTGCAGCAAAGCTTCAGCGTACTGCAACCAGTGTGTGATAGAACCAAGAGCAATCGTGTGTGATCTAGGGAAACAATAGCCATACTAGAGTACAATGTTATGAGAAGTGTTGTGAGCGCATTTCTTTTACGTGTTTAATTGGTCTTTACTCAACTAAATGCTTTCTCTCTTCAGTTCTGAGCTTTCTGTTTCACTTGAGAAGACAGTTTCAAGTCTGATTTGCTGAATAACTAAGTTAGCAATGTTCTCTTTTTGGTTATAGTCTGTCAAGTTACAGAATAAAAATTTTGAAATGCTTTCTGGCTTTATCTTCAGGTGGCACCGACAAAACTGATTCCCAAACCGGAAGAGATACGGAAGAGGAAATGGAAGCGGAAACATCTGCAAGCGGTAAGCATCGTTCATTTTTGTCTTCTTTTGCAAGCGTGTGCAATTTATGTGCAGCACTCGTTTGCCTGCCGGCGTCCATTATTTCTGTCTATACCTAGGCACATAGACGCTGATGAGCTTTGCTTTTATTTAGCATAGCGCTAAGCTTATTACCCCTAAGCTCCGAACTTTTCAGCGATCACAAAGAAAACTGTAGTACATGTCTGACAAATGAAGAGGCTGTTCCATTTGCACGTAAATCTACTAAAACCTGATATAACTGAATTTAATATGGCCAAAGCAGGCTATCCTACCCTTACCTGCAAGGGGATAATGTTCTGTTACTATTACAAGCAGAATGAGACCTTCTCTGAAAACTCTGCTAGATGTCTTGTGCGACTGATCCAACTTAACGCTGACAATAACCTGTCTCAAACTTAAAGCTACACTTAGGCCGAAAGGGCTTATTGGACTAATTTAGGGTTATGAGTTTCGTGGTTTAGCTCTGCTTATGGTCATGATATTCCGAGGATTCAGGAATAGGGTTTGAAGCAGAAAAACTGTGTCACCTAAACGATTAAGAATTTAGAGGGTTATGTGATATCCTTTTGTTCAATATACGTAGGTGGTATCTATATATATATATCTTGTAACCTATATATTTATATACACTTACAATCGAACCTTGCTACAACGAACGCTGCTTCAAGGAATTTCCGCTACAATGAAAACTTTACAGTTCTCCGTCAGCAGACCATAGGAGTCAATGCATAAATATTGTAGCCACAACGAACACTTTTTATTCTGCCGTTCCAGCATGAACGAAATTTCAGGATGCAATTCCAGGCTCAGATATTTATTGCTATACAGTGAACACAATCTGTAAGATTTTGATGTGTTTTCAGAACCTGAAAATTACGTCGAAGTCTAAAACACGCATTGGCACCACCAGAAATCCGCCGCTGTTCAGCAAGTATGAATGCCGCCATTGCTTGACAGCGATGGCAGTGACACTGTCCTGCTTTTAGCCACTGGCTTGCTTTTGAGCTGCAGACGATCCAAAGCTGAAGCTCAGTCGCTCAGTTTATGGTTTCCTTCACGCAGCTCGTGGGTTCAACTGCAGAACAATGCCTTTTCTGATGCCAATTCTTATCAAAAGTTCGTACTTGGCCAGTGTGGTAACTAATCAGAGCGGCTGTTTTTCTGCATTATCAATAAAATCGGTTATCTACGAGTGGTGTATGATAGGAATGGCATATAATAAGGCAAAAGTCACCGCTCCATCATACCCTGCCTCGGTCTCGGCATTGTCGGATACGCTTTGACGGCGAACAGCTGCTGGTGTTAATGTGTTAATGCAACTGTTTTGTTCGTTCACGAAAGCAATTGTAGGCGTTGTTTTAGAGTGCTTTTAACCATGGCCTCGCTATGTATGGGTGAGAATCACGTTGTGACGCTGCTGGAACTACTATGAAACAGTGGACACTTTTTAACTTTTAAGAATAAACGTTCCTCTGTTTTGCTAGCTCTGATCAGCTATACTTTTTTATTCTGCTACAATGAAATTTTCGCATCAATGAAACTTTTTCTGTGCCCCATCAGTTTCGTTGTAGCTGGGTTCTATTGTATACATATTCAAGTACTTTCTTGCCCTTCAGTAATAATGTTGGCCTTCTGATTATCGAAGGCCCATGTGCTAAGAACAAGTTCTTATATAGCCTTTGTTGGAAGACATCGAAGACGCAGTGGAAACCGAAAACCCACTAGCATCCTAAATTACTCGAAAGTGCTGTCTCAAGAATGCCTCTTTATTCTAACATAAAGCATTCTAACGATAAAAATTGCTGATTTGACTTTGATAGATATACAATAAATGGCCTGTAATAGATATGTAAAAAATATAACACTTAAGCTGTACGCAAAACTTCATCCTAATCTTCTCTGGTTCATATAGCAGGCACGTGACATTGTTTCTTCATAACATTTCACTCTAACAATTACCACTTATGACATTAGTTATCATCGTGACGCCATTTAGCATATCTTTTATCACCAGTCATGGATGATAACTGTGTGAAAGACGTATAGGAATGGGGACCTATCTGCAGTTTTTCATGTTCAGAGATGTCAGCCTACATGTGCTTAGACCACATTTGAGTAAGTTGCGCTCATGGTAACCACTATATAGAGGGTAAGTGCAGCGGCAAATCATGTCACTGAAGTCAGTCACAGTTTCTATGACATTTAAAACACATTGGTCATACTTGCTCTGCTTTTAATACTGTGTTGTCTGTATGCGTGTATGCATCTTTCTATAAAAACCAGCATGCTTGCTCCCTATAGATGTTGTTCAGTGTTTGCAGTGTTCGCAATGCTGTGTGCTGTGCCACATTTCGGCCCCAGAGGTATTGCATAGTTGTGTTGTTTTAATCTTCGTTATGTTGTTCCCATCAGTGACATTTTTTTCAGTTATTTCTACTAATGCTGTCTCCAGCTTATGGAGCCCTCTTAGTCACTAATGCTGTTGGCTTTCCTCACTAGATGGTGGAGGTATGCGATTCTACAGTTTGAAGGCAATAGCATGGTGTGGTACGTAACGGCTTGCTCTTTGTAGCTTTCAAAGCAGGAGAAGCCTTATCTTTTGACTGAAAACTTCCTTTGTTGCCTTTTCTTTTTAAACCAATAGATTCCCCAATTAGAGCACATCACCCTCCTTCTAACATGCACATTACAGAAAGTTCACCGTGCATGTCACAGTGGTGCAAATAATGTTCAGTTTACTTACCATTTCTCTGGCTGTGATGCGATGCCCTTTTCAGTTTTGTTACCTGCACTTCAAACCGTCTGTGGTCTTCACGCACATTTGCCTGCAGTGACTTGAACGTGGGCCTTGTGCAAACCTCAAAAGTTTGTCACGTGATTCTGACGCTTGCCCATCTTTACATGCATTTTAAAGTGGGCGATTTGAATGATCCGAATGCTGTCCCCCCATCATCTGCATCGACTTTATCACACTCCTTGTTGCTGCACTAACATGTTGTATAGTGCCAGAAAATGAACAGTTTCAAGCATTGTTGTTGGCCAGCCTTCTGAAACTTCAATCCATGAAGTGTTTAACCTCTGGCGCAACATCCGGCATAAGGGAAAAGAACATTTTTCTCAAAGGAATAACTTTTTGGTGATAAGTTACAAAAACACGAAAAGCCCCAAAACCTGTTGCCTTCTTCACACCTAATGTTTTTTCAGAAGACTGGCAAATGGCACTGTACGATGCTCCGATCAATATTTACAGTAGACTCTCGGTAAACAGAACCTGAAGGGACCAGGAAAATATGTTCCATTTAACAGGAGTTCCGTTTACTGAGAGGTGAACACGAGTGCTGAATACAAGCCCGAAACCAAGTATTGCAGAGGCAATAGTTCCGTTTAAGCAGTAGTTCCGTTTAACAGATTTCCGTTTACTGAGAGTCTACCATATATCGTCTTGCCTGTGGGTGACATTTTTTTGGTGTTTACCAGTGTTGTTCTTGAAATGCTCAAAAGTAATCGCTGCCTTATTAAAACACTCAGGCCTAGAAGTTTCCCCAATGTGTTGGTCTCTGATGGCAATCACTTGTTTCAATAAATCAATAACGACATTCAGAGTTGCCCATTCTGCATCGCCTAAATCGTCGTACAAACTGTCAGTGTGATTTGTGAACAGAATGAATAGTAGAAAATGAAGGCAGAAACTGAAAATTTATTTGAAGACCTACAGGTTCTATCTCAAAGTTATCATATTCTCGCTTGCTTTCCGCTATAAGAATTGGAGATACTTAGAAGTTCGCTTTCTTAGTTGCTACTTAGGAGTTCGCTTTCACTAAGCACATAAGCAACACCTCTTCAGCGCAAGTCACAGTTCAAGATTATTTGTGAAAATGCACATTCTAGGGCCATTTCGAATGATAATATTTTTCTTCTTTACTAGCTGCAAAATACCTGACATTCGCTTGGCATGTCATTTCAAAATGATATTTAGGAAAAGAAGCTTTACTAGCTGCAAAATACCTGACATTCGCTTGGCATGTCATTTCAAAATGATATTTAGGAAAAGAAGCAAGATGTAAACAAATAGCAATTAATCTCATAATACAAGCAATTCTTATTCTCAAGGGAAGTGAGAGAAACGTGCGAGAAAAAGTATGACTTAAATGGACTGGGTAACAATAGACAGGTCGTGAAAAGATAATGTTTGAACCAGCACAAGCTGCACTTCACAACGAATCAAGTACTTGTGGAGGGCCAAATCTTGCATGATTTTACTAGGGCCAATCTCTGTCTGTGGAGACAGTGTTTATGCAACGACATAAGAGTACCCAGCTAAAGTGTTTTGCAAATAATGATTCTGTGTTGCGTCCTGGCTACATTTGTGGATACGAGTCAATCCTGGCTGGTCGTTCTTTTTTCCCATACCCTTCTGTGATGTTGACATCACTACTTCAGGTCGACCGTGGAAGAGGCCCAGTCAGCAGCTTCAGCCACGGAAGGTGAGCTGCCTCCAGACGAAGCACCTCCAAGACAACTACGAGCACTGGGTGAACATCCTGAAAGAGGAGAACCGGCTCAAGGAGCAGCAACAGCAGCAGGGCGCCGCCGCTTCGTCATCTTCGACATCTCCTAGGGCAACCACGGCGCCCACGGCCGAAGAAGATCGTGCCGCCGCCTCGGAGGATGACGAGGACGACGATGAGGACGGCGAGTCGGACGACTGCGATGACGACGACGAGGAGGAGTCGCAAGCTGGTGTCGTCGGGGCTGACGTGGTGGTTGCTGCAGCGCCATCACCACACCAGGAAGAGATGGAAACCATCCAGGAAGTGGAGGAAGGCGCACTCGGAGGCCAGGGCTCAACCAAGACGTCGCCATGCGTGAGTGACATTCATGCATACATTACCACTCCATCATTTTTAGCCTGAATTCTCAAACATGGTGAGCGCAGCAGTGAAAATTCTGAAAATACCCATGAACAAGGCAGCGCGACAGAAAAAAAAAAGTCAATAAAAACCACAAGCTTCAAAGTAGAGGTCGTTCAGCACCTCGCCTTGTAGTTTTTTTTATCATGTGTTGCCATTGTTTGCGTTGCCTTAATAAATATGTATGAACCAAGTTACCCTAGTCTTACATCCATCGTATGCATGACTTCTTAGAATAAGGTTTATACGAGAAAAGTGTCCAAATATTTGTTGAGTAGTACCTCGGTTTCGGACGAGTCCGACAGAATAAAGGTTTGGGGCATAATTCGTGTCCCGCTTGGCTTACTGAGAGGGCGCCCCCACCCCACAGTGTACTCATCTATGTTTCTCTGTGACTCGCTCTTGGCTCACACAATCTGTAACCTTTTTCGTGCTGACTGTGAGTGTCTGTTGGTCCGCCGCTTGTATGCTTCGTGTAGCTACATGTAGCACTTTACCTTTCTTCTCGTCATTTGCAGTCAGGAAGCTGCTAGCAGTGCTGTGAGGACGCAGGGCGGTGCGAAGACGCTTGCTGCCGTCGACGACGCTGTTGTTTCTGGTGCGTCACACCCACGTCCACTTCCGCCGCCACCGCTGAGCGCAGGACCAGCGACACCCGGTCGCGAACAACGGTCTAGCTTCCCCACCTCGACCGAGGAAGGTTCTTCTCGCCGGAAAAGACCGCTGGGGCGCTCCACCTGAGAACTCCCCCTACCCAACCAGCCGCCGAGAGGATGGGCTCAGCGAGAAACAACAGCCTCTGGCGACAATCATCATATCAAGGAGCAGGCCCGCGGTACACAGGACACGCCACAGACAGACACACGTCTTCGCCAGTCTCGCCCCGGAGGCTTACGCACGCTGGCAGAAAGGCGCCGGCTGTAGCTCGCTCCGCTTAGCGCCTTAGTTCTTGAAGACGTGTGTGACGTCACAAACAGCTTGATGTAATTAATGATACGTGAAGGGTCACACGGTGGTTTGCTTGTCTGGTTGCACAATGTGCAATGACACTGCAGTAAGGAGCCACGTCCTGAAATGCCAGCTATCCCTCCTTCCACTTGACGCATGCGCTGTCGCAGTGTGTGGGACAACACATTAGTTGAAGGGCTTCCCAGAAGCTGACTCGTTAGATTTGCGATCATGCCAATGTGATTACAGTCGCATAGTAATTCTTTAAGGCCAAGGATTCATCTGCGTACAGTGTCACAACGCGTGAGGATGAATGCAAACTCAGACAACATTCATTGTGCGGCATATCACTCAACCTTACGTGTAAGACAGGCTCGCAAAATGTCTCCTTGGCATCAAGACATTCGGACATGAGCTTCCTTACTAATGCGACAAGCAGTAACTTTCGGTAGAGCTAATCTATGCGGATTCCTTCAGGTGCCGTGTACAGTAACTCGACCTTTCGGCAAATGGAGGTGGCATCTATCAGCGGTTCGCGGAATGAGTGACAGTCGACGCCTTCCCCGAAGCCTTGCTAGGACCAAATGGTGCCTGGTGTGAAAACCAGTGCTCTGTATTCAAGACTTTTTTTTTTTCATTCGTCTTCTTTGCCGACGTGTATCTTTTTTACGTTCCTGATTTTTTTTTTTTGTTTCTGCGGCAATGAGCTTGGCGAGCAAACACTTCTTCCTCAGGTCGGCAGACGCTCGAACATTGGGCAGATAGAAGGCACAGGTTGCTGCCAAACTTCGTTTATCACTTCCAACCCATAGCCAAAATGCACACCTAAGCCTGCCACATTTCGGTGGTAACGTTGCTGAGAGTATTGTGAATATATTGCGAGAATGTTGCCACCCATCAGCCCTGCTGAGGGCACAAACTGTGAAGCATATAAACCAACATTTAAGGCAAGTCGGCAACGCGAACCCGGCACAGTGACTGGCACAAATTTCAGGCTTCCGTGCATCGCTGTACTGAAGCCTGCGAACCTTTTCTTTCAGTAAAAAAAGAACAACGCATTTTACATAACGCACATGTCTCTTCTAACATTAACTACCTTATAAGATCTAATGTGCTAAGTCTACACATCACTGTTTCTGTAGTTATGGGGTTTCACATTTTTAAACAGCAGAGTAATTTAAAAAGGAAGATATAGGGGTTAATGTGCGTAGAGTTTTCGCCACGCGAGGTTCATTATTACACACACTGGACAGATATACTATCAAGTGCTTATGTATGATCATGAGTTTACGTATGATAATTTTGGGCACCTATTTTTTGAAGTGTACGAGTCTGTTTTATAATTTTTTGGAACATCCATGAGTATATGTTGGTGATCGTGTATTATTCAGTTATTGAGCCCGTCCCAGAGAATTGGAATCGAGGAAATGCAGTAAGGCTAGCTATATTGTTTGGTTTGCTACCCTACTCACTTAAAGGTGAGTGAGAGAGTAAAACAGAGAAAAAAGATGGAGGCATGTGTGCATTATTTGCATTCAAGGTGCACCATATGTACAGTACACATTCACTATAATATTCCTTTAGTGTACCTTCTCGATTGCCCTTCGTCTATAGGCTTATCTTCCTTGCATTTCATGCTGAATATGCAAGGAATCTTGCATTCCACTCCGATCACAATGTCGTCGTCAGTACTGGGAATCGAGCCCTTTTCATTGTATGTAGGAACACAATGCCATAGCCACTGAGTTACCGTGGAGAGTACGTGTATATTGCAGTGATGGTGCAGGAGCGTTGGTATTGCAACCCGTACGTAATGAACGACTACTTGGTTTGAACCTACACATTGTAATTTTTAATTCTCAGTTCAGGGAACGTAGTGAAGCAAGACTTTTATCAAAAGGCTTGTTTGTCATAGAGCCTATCTTTGAGATTTCAATGTAATGTGTAACCAGAATCTAGAGAGGCTGATTTAGTGTACAATCAGGCTTCCATTTTATGGGCCTTGTGAGAGGTGTTTCACATGGAACCTAACTTTTGTGAGTTAGTTCAACAGGCGTTGACGCCTGTTCGTGACCTGTCATGACTATCAATATAGATTAGCGAGAAAAAATTATATATTTCACTGATCTGTAGACGAGATTGACTTTTCTGTTAAGAAATGCAACATTTCAAGTCGGCTGGCTTGTGCCGGTTTACTCTGGTTCCCTTACGGCATTGCTTAGTTTGGTGCCTTATGTCATTCACCTCAAGACTGATTTACGCTTGGATTGGCAAGTCACTGCTCCGGGTAGTATCTAAGTATGTCGACTTAGGCACTTTACCTCTAATATAGTAGCAGTTCAGTGTATGTACATCAGCCACTCAAGCAGGTTCGTCTGCAGGCAGGCAGAACTCTTTTTATTTCACTATGTGAAAAACATCTTTCAAGACCCGATATTCAGGTGTGGCATGCACCAGTGTTTCGTCATCCACCTGATTGTTCCTGTCAAAACGTATAGGGTGCTGGTATGCACTAAAAATTCAGGTGCCGATGTACACCTGATTGTTTTTGTTAATAACATTATCATTGCGGCATGAATCAAACGATATTCACCGGTCATCATCTTTAGACTGTAACAATGCGAGTGAATTCTAGTCCATTACTACGCTACCTCTAATTTCACGAGGGCAGCTCTGCTGCATAGCCATGACTTGTTTTGATGCTTACTCCAGTCTTGTCAGGTGTCCTCAGTTTATATGTATGTTTTCTCGTGCTTTTGTTGAAGACTGTGATTATTGCATCTATACATTCGATCACTCTTCATTGACGAATGCTGACGAAGCTACACCTTTGTTTCATAAAAATTGTGATTAATTTTGTGCATACATAAAAAAACTGCATCTATCTTCCCACCAGACTGAATGAAGTGTCAATTAATATTATGTTTAGCTCTGTGTATTCATTATTTCCAATATTTTTTTTCTGTGATTACAGTGCACCATAAGAAGTAAGTGGGCGAGAGGTTAATTTTTATTTACTTTAATGAAGTGCAAATGAGCATTGAAGAGCTTCAAGAACAGGTTCTTGATTTTCCAACGTACAAATCGGTATGTGCCTGCACGCTAGCTAGCTTTCCTGGCAGTGTTACTCTTTGCACTGTTGGTAAAGATTGCACATTCAGAGAAATATGTTTATTTTTTTTATAAGTTACTCTCCAGACATGAAAGATTGCACATTCAGTTTTTATTTGTTTCAGTTCCTTCAGAATTATGCTTATTCATAAGTTACTCTTCAGTCATGACCTCTTGAAACAGTGCTTATGCCGCTTACCTCCTTCAATGCTCGTGATGTTGCGGGGGTGGAATTTCTGGATAGAGCTATAACCCAGGCTGACACAGCTTTTAAAATTACTCTTGTACCATTTCCCGCAGGACTTCTTCTACCAATTACAATGTGATTTCAATTTGGTGAAAACACCTTTACTAATGTAGGTTTTTATAGCCCTAATGTCGTTCATAAAGAAATCATCAGTATTTTTCCTCTAATAGAACACCTACGACTTCAGACAGAACATCCACAGAATTCATTGACTGTTCACCACAATACACTCATGAACATTTTTCTGGTAGTATAACTGGGCCCATTTCACTTCTACATCATGTTAAGGTTTTTAGACGATAGATATTATTTTGTTGTTGCTGTGTTATTTTTTTGCTGATGTTTGCCCAACACGACCAGTTGCATTACTTGTAAATTGTTTTTAATGCGACTGAAAAGATTGTTTTATTTAGAAGCAGATCAGTCTTGTGATCACCTAATGAGGATATTCAAGTTAAGGCTTTACGACAAGCTTCTTCATTTGTATTGTTACAGCTAAAAAGGCTAGACATAACGTCATTTTAATGGCTTGTGTGATGTGAAGGACGTACTGTAGTTATTCAAGATGAGGTTTGTAGGTAACTCATTTTACAATGTGCATCTATTTGTGAAAGTTCTGTGTTATTATCTTTGGAATAGCAATTTTTTATTACTGACCCTCGTTTGAGACACCTTCCAGCATAAGAGCAATTTTCGTTTGTCCTTTCCTATGAAAGTCAGTATTTTGTTTTACTTCAGAAGCTTGTATTTAAGAATCATTTTTTGAGGCAGTCTTGTGAAGCCCAGTGTGTAGGAGTCCCTTGTGTTTATTGTTTCTTTGTCACATAAATAATGCCTCTAACAGGAGTCGCAAAGGCAAGTACTAAAAGGGCACTCTGCATATTGCCTTGGAGTAAACATTTCTGAAGATGAGGCTGCTATAATTTTTATCGTTCTTGCTGTTGCTTTATTTCAACCTGGTATGGTTAGCAATCATTCACAAGGTACAAAATATAGTAAGCATTGAGTGACAGAAGTATCGCAAGCATATATATTACATTTCTAGGTGCCGGAAAATATATCGGCAATCTTGTTGTGAAGCTAAATTATAAAAAGTGCTGGTTACCCCGTGACTACTCAGAGGACTTCAGTAAGTAAGACAAAGAACTCTGCACTAATGCAGTAATATTTGCCAACATTACTCTACGTGTTTCCAGATCATGTCAGCATCACTACTCGGACACTGATACAATGAAGTATCGGATATAAAGGAGTGAACTATATCTGTTTTCGATACTCCTGTGTTGCGAATACAGATCTTCCCACGATGCTCAGCAAAAGTGTTTTATGATTTATAGGACTTTATTGTGACATCGTTTGAAAAAGCTAGGTTTTCTCAAAGTGTTACTTGAAAACGTTTCAATGTCGGCTGTCACCCATATTACGACTCTGAAAGCAAAGCATACGGGCCTCTCTATGAGCACAAAACAATCCAGCATTCATGTTTCTGTCTTCGACAATCTCTGGCATTCGCTGACGGGTTTAAACTGTCCCACCAATCCATTCAATGACATATGTTGATCTCAAACTCCGAGCAGGTCATTTCTAGTTGAGAAGGTTGGGATGGTTCCCATTCAGTGTGGCTGCGAGAATGTGCTTAAATACTTCTATGCCACAGCTGCAGGAAAGTGTTTGCTTAATGTTCTAGCGCTCTGCCGTGTAAACTTACAACACACCGCTCGTCGGACGGCTTGGAAGACGCCAGCTGAAAGTGAATGAATCCAGAGTGTTTCTGTTCTTTTTAAATGTTGCTAGCAGCTCGTTCTTTTTACAGTGCCTACTTTCACCGAAAACTCGCCCAACCAAAGACGTTACTTGTAGCTATGCTCACTGTCATTCCACTTTGAATAATGGTACTCTTTTCCCCACTTTCAGCTTCACAATTTTAACTGCTACAAACTCGTGCAGTGGATGTCGGTTAAGAGGAACCTAATACAGTAACATTTGCTTCTTACAGAGTGCATTATAAGTCTCATAGCTTGCTAAGGCTTTGCTGTGAGTTTTGTCTGCATTCTCACTTTGGTCTTTTTTTTTCTTTCAATCTTTCAGCACAGCCGTTTTTTCAAGTGTGTCTTTGGCGTACAGGGTCCCTGCGTCTTTCGTTTTAGGATGATACAATAGAAGTAACATGTAACTAGGATAGTAAGAGCGATAATTGAGCAGCCAGTACAGAGAGGATGGAAGCTGTGGTACACGTACTTCCATGAAACAAAGCACCTGCACACAATTGAGAGCACTTTTCGTGACACTTTTTTTTTTCTTTTCACTGTTTCTGCCCTTCCCACACTATTTTGGAGAGTAGGATGTGCAGACATTAAATTTAGAAGTGTCGTTCCATTACTGGCCAAGCTGATCAGAAGCTTTACCAACAGGCATTACAACAGGCAAGTATATGGCTGTCATAGAAAGATCTAGAGACTCCACAATCCTGCCCTATAGCAATGTTTTGACCGCAGCAATGTGAGGTGGGCTATGTACTGCACACTGGTCAGAGCATTCTTGAAGCTCTTCGCCCACGAGCCATTGTGACAAGCCAGCGCAAGTTACCTTTCTCTACGCTGTAATAAAGAGTAATGCTAACTCCAGAGATATTTAGTAAGTAAACCTAAGGTTTTCACATCAAACAGTTTTTTGGGTATAGAGAACATCTAGTTCATATTTTATTTGGGTGGTCGTGTATTTGCTCCCATTGGTAAATTCTAAGGTTTCTATGAATGTTTCATGGGTCCCGAGAAAGTGAAAATTTCCAAGGTTGAGGACTTTCAGCCGATAACAAAATCAAACAAATAACCGTCACCTTCGCCGTATTGAGATAGCCCGATAGGTGAGTAGTTTTGCGCTACAATCATGTGGATGCCAAATTTATTTTAATCGAATCTACCTCTACCTTTCAGGCCACTATGTTATTTGCATCAATGAGTGTTCATTTGTTCATACGTCAGTGTCATTGAGTGTTGACTATGTCATCAGGCGTCATTTCTTTTTACATGATGTAACGAAGGTGTTGGCACACAAAAAATTCACCGGGTACTTTTTAGTTTTTACTAAGTGGATCAAGCATGCGATACAACAAATAAACATACACATATGCATCACGCAAAAATCTTTTCAGGACATTGATAATTCTAAGAAACCTTGGGGATTTGCTTCTAATGACATTATGAAATTTAATTCTAGGTATTATGCTTTACATAGAAGGTTGGTTACACAGGTAGTAGTTAATCTGTGCAGTAATCTTACGTCAGCCTATCTACATACTCGGTTGCGGACTAGTCTTCGCGGTACATGGCGGGATGCTTCGGACCAAGGGAACGCTTGCCATCATGCTCAGGTCGATTGTCATTGAGCTTCATTGAAGGTTGAGTCTACAACTCGACCTGAAGCAGAAAATGTAAAACAAAGCTATTAAAATGTTTCAGCTGGTACATAATCATATCAGATGTTACGAAGTGCTGGAGTAATGCAGACATACACACGGCAATATTGGTGGTGGCCTCTTTCGACTCTGGTCTTAACTAAGCCACTAAAAACTATGGCTATGTCACACAAAACCCTCGTAACAATCAGCTGATGTAGTGTTGTTGAGGGTAAAGCTATTCATCATGCTGTTGATTCTTTTTTTCAACAGTTACACCCTACGGGCAGGCAGTTGAATATTCTTACAAAGATATTACCAGTACCAGTAACGTTCTAGCACACATCCAGCAGGTATAAAAAAGCAGCGGAAAACTCTGATATTTCAGGCACATTTACTTCTCGTAGTAACCTAGGGAAAGTCTAACGTTGACCCCCTTTTTTTGTAAATCCAGTAGTATTGTTAGTGTAATTCTATACACTTCTCTAAAGTTCATCAGTCACAAAGCCAGTACAGTAATAGCACTCGCTTTTATTGAAAGCTCTTACCATCTTGATTAGGCACTGTAATCTGGCAAACTTTCACCCCAATGTGTCAGCGACTACTTGTACTATGTTTGAGCTATTGAGTCTCCTGCGTGAAATCTGTCCTTCATGAAACACTTGCATTGCTCGATTGTATTTCGGTTCAAAGTTCCTCCTAAAATGTGTGCGTGTGCCGAGTGGCTCTGTATTTTTGTAGCACGTGTGACTATGACAAACTATATATGCACCCATTTCCCCTCGTTATCATCATGTTCCAAAGTCTTGTTGTCGAAGAACAATTAAAGCATGCTTACGTTAACCTTAAAGAGACACTAAAGAAAAACAAAAATGACTTGGTTTTGATTGACTAACTGCACTTTGAGAACTTTAACGCCAGGTGTTTCAATATCATAAGTTCATTATTAAGAGAGAAAAGTAAAGGTGAAGTGTAATTTTTTTTTAATTTTGCTCAAAAATCTTTTTGCTTGACGTCACAAATTTCAAAATGCATCTTTTGTATTTTTGCAGCATTGACTCGATGAAAATTTTTGAAACTTTGAATGCTAGGTATTTGGCATGTTTACTTCATTTCTATCACCTAGAGACTACACAGTGGACG